GTCCCTGAAGCCCAGGCCTGCTCTGAAGTCTTTGGACGGGGCAGGTGTCCCCGAATGATGCAGTGCTGTCCTGCTGCGCTGGCTGTGGCCAGGCACTGGGGCAGGTCGTGACATCTGTAACTCGTAGCTCTGCAAATACGCAAATGCACAGGCCTCCTCCAGGCTGGACTGGCTGCCCTCAGCCGTCGGCCCTGCAGGGAGCAACTGAGCTCAGAGCTGCCCCACCCAACTCTGGCCTCGGCCCACGAGCTGCCCTCCCAGCCCGACTCGGACACCCGGAAGGAGCATTCCGGCTCGAGAGCCCCTGGGGGTCCAGGCTGTCTGGGGCCTGCTTCAGGCTCAACTTCCTGCTCTGCCCCCGGCCCCCGGCTCAGGGCCCGACTGACGGCACCGAGGCTTTCAGAGCACGGCCCGACCAGGACGGGGAGCCGTCGGAAATGCAGGGTCTCGGGCCCTGGCCCTCCCGTGGGGTGAGGAGTGAGGGGGTGGCCCAGCGACCGAGCTGCCACAGCCCTCCCGTGACCCCGGCCTGGGACGCATCCCCACGGCACGGCCCTCGGAGCGGACGCCAGGAGGCTGCGGCGTCAGTGGGTCTGAGGAAGGCAGACGGCCCAGACGCCGGGGAGAGGACGCAGCCCGGACGTCCCTGCAGAGCCACTGCCCACCGTCAGCCCCGGGGCCTAGCGCCCCCTCCTCAATCCCACACGGCAGAAATGGCGGTGGGGAGGCCCACCCCGTCCCGAGCCCGCCAGCTTGGGAAGTGCCCCGTCTCCAAGGTGGCACGTGGGGGCCGTGGGGCCCGGCTGGTCCCTTCGTTCTCCTTTCCTGAATTGCTGTCTGATTCGCCTCCACTGCTGGGGCTGCACAGCCCTGGCCTGCAGGACGCACCCACTGGATGCCCCCGACGCACACACTCGGCGCATCCGACGGGCTCCTCTGGGGCGGCTGTGGGGGCCGCCAGGCTGTAGACATCGGGCGGGAGAGCCCCGTGAGCGGCATTTGTCGCGCTGACAAGTGAGCGGCCACTCGCGGCTGTCCTCAGCAGAGATGTGGCCCAGAGCCACAGGAACCGCGCCAGGAACAGCCTCTCTGCAGCCACCCACGGCAGTCTCTGCGGCCGCCGGCCACCCAGGAGAGAGGGGGATGTGCGCGGGGATGGAGGCGCTGAGAGCACACGCGGGACGCAGGGGGAGACCGAGACGGCGGGGAGACAGGCGGGAGAGGAACAGCCCCCAGCACCGCCCTGGACACGGCGTGGGAACTGGGAGTGAGGGAGCCAGAGACAGACGCGGAGCAGCTGGGGACGCACAGGGCCGGGTCAGCGGAGAATCTCAAGAACAGAGAGGCCGACACGCACGGGGACCCAGCCCCGGACACAGGCTCGGTCGGCTCGTCCCACCCTGTCCTCCGACCGCCTGCGCCTTCCCACCCGCCGCCCCATTTCGGGGGGTGTCTGCACGGCACAAACCAGGCCTGGCTCACCCGGGGTCCCCCTCCAGTGTTCACCCCACGACCACCACCACCGCCACCAACACGGAGCCTCGCCGTGAGCCCACCCGCCACCCGACCTAGCCGAGCCCAGCACGGACCCAGAAACACCCTAGTCCCGCGAGATCGGGCAGGGGTGCCGGGTTCGAATCCCGAATCTGTCACCCGGCAGACACCTCAGCGACTCCTGCACCCCTGCCCCTCTGTGTCCTCACTGTCCAGCGGGGACCCGCGGAGCGCCTCCCCCGCAACACAGCGCGAGTTAGCCCTGCACGCGGCGACTGTGCTGCGTGGTCGACCACCACCACCATTATCGTCATCACTGTGACTACCACGGCCGTCAGCACCACCTCTGTCCCCGTCACACTGCGGGGCTCCCACGTCTCACTGGGCTCCCCACGCCCCCACCTCTATGAAGGGGTCCAGCAAACACCGGCTGAGACCGCCTAAGCCTCCTCCCCAAACTGTGGGACCCAGCGAGGCAGGGAGAGCCTGCCCGATGCCCCGGGAAGAGGGAGGCACCAGCTCCGGGCAGCTGGCGCCCGTCCCCGCGGCCTCCACGGGCCCATCTGCTGGGAACACCCCGTCATCCATCCTCTCGGTGGATGGGAGGAAGGGGAGGGCAGACGTGTCCGGGCTCGAGGGAGGGGGCTGTGCCTGTTCACTCGGGAGCCCACAGGCAGGGCCGGAACACAGCAGGGCGGACAAGCAACTGGGGCAGCTACGGGGAGGCGGGGCCACGCAGGGCCCGTGTGTTCCTGGCCTGGGATCCCCCCTACAACCTGATCCCAAGGCCTGACCTGCCAGGTGGCCGTGTCGGTGGGAGAGAAGGACGGGACAGCAGCGCTGTGGTCCGGGCACTGCCAGGGCCCTGGGCGGAGGGTGACTGCTCCCAGCCTGAGGTCGGCCACCGAGAGCCCCAGCCTGCCCGCACGCCCAGCCCGAGTGCTCTCGGCTTGCCTGCCCCCTCTCGGGGAAGTGGCAGGACCCAGCTGCTCACGGTACCAGCCCTGGGACCACCTGCCCCCACCCCGTCTCCAGCACCCGCGTCCGCCCAAGCACACGCGCCGAGCTCCCTCCAGGCCTGGCTCGGGGAAAGGCCCACCCTCCCCACCGGGCCATCTACGGGCAGCGACCTGGGTTCTAGGTGCCACGCTCAGGCCAGCTCCAGGCATCACATCTGGAATGGAAAGACAGCCGAGGGGCCTGCGGCACTGTGTGTTTAGCCGCCACGGAACAGGGAGAAGAGTTTCAGCCCCAGGGCCACCACTTGGGAGCACCTGTTTATTCCACGTCTGTGCACCGGGCCCGGGGGCGGAGGCAGCGGACCTGGCGCTCGGAGCTGTGCTGGGATACGAGTGTACGTCTGCCTCCCTGGCGGGTCCAGGCCACGCCAGCGCCTCCTTAGCAGCCCCGGGGGAGTCCCATCTCCCAAGGAGAGAGGCTTCCTTCCGTCCTTCTGCGAGAGGCAGAGCACGGGGCGCCATGCCCCAGCCCGGCAACCCCGGCCTGAAGCACCAGAGAAGCGGCACCAACTCCCAGGAACTGCAGATGCTGCAGCTAATCCGGGACGTCCCAGATGAAAAGAAGGGTGAGCTTCCCTCTACCATAGAACATTCTAGCATTTCCCCAGTGCCCGGGTCTGGCCCGGCCTCTGTCCAACTCACATGATGCCCTCTCCCCACAGCTTTACCACAGTCGAACCCAGACATCTCACACCGGGGGCTGGGAACAGATTTCAACAGCAAATAGGACCTATTTGGCCTACAGAGTGGTTGGTTGTTTTTTTTTTTTATGTTTTTGAATTGTGACCCAAGATTTAAAAATCGGGCAATTTTGCATAAAGCCAGATTTCCAGCTCATAGTCGAAAATCAGATCTGGCAGTGCGGGGCCAGCTGGCCGAGAACCAGCTGCAGCCGAGACAGGGCACCGCTGTCCGGTAAGCCGCAGGCCTCCCCACCCCCTAACGCCTCCCACGGACACGGAAGCCAAGGGCGAGCCGGCCGCAGTCGAGTCTGCACCTCTACTTTCCGTAGGGCAAAGAAACATCTCTGTTCACCCAGCGAGAGTGAACAAAACAAAGAGGGTGTCGTGATTTTCCCCACTGCTTCGTTCATTCAAGGCCCCGAAAGGTACCAGGACCCTGTTCCGAAGACCCCCTGCCGTTCCCGAAGGCGCCCCGCGCTCTGGTGTCCCCGTGCCTTTGCACGCACGGCTGCTCCCTCTGCTGGGGACCCTCTCAGCTCCATCCTCGCCCACCTGAGGGCCACTTCTCAGCCTCGTCTTCGGAGGCTTTCAGGATCTCCCTCCAAACCCCTCCTTACTGGGCAGGTACAGCCTCCTGGGGCTTTGTGGTCACTGTCACTCTGCCCCGGCTCCTCGCAGCCAGAGACCCCAGGGAAGGAAATGCCTCCAATCCAGCAGCGCCTCCTCCCGCCCCTGCGGTGTCCGCCCGCCTCCTCCAGGGGTGCTCCCTGCACCTGCTCCGTGCTGGTCCTCAATCACCCGGGAGCAAAGCAAACGGGCCCACTGACCTCCCCCTCCCAGACCCCAAGGACGCAGGACCCCCCTTCACGTGTGTGCCCGTCATCTCTGCATGATTTACTGCATTTTTTTCCTCCAGAGAAAGGGTCTCGCTCCGTCACCCACGCTGGAGCGCAGTGGCATCATCATAGCTCACTGCAGCCTCCAACTCCAAGGCTCAGATGATCCTCCCACCTTGGCCTCCCCCAAAGCGCTGGGATTACAGGCGTGAGCCACTGCACCTGGCCGGAATATTTTTTCAAACCAACTCCCTTTTCCTCCAGCTCAGAGGTCAGCAAACCTTTTTCTGCAAAGAGCCAGAGAGTAAATAATTTAGGTTTTGCCGGCCATACGTTTGCGGTCACGACCGCTCCACTGCACAGGAGCACAAAAGCTGCCATGGTGACATGTAAACAAATGGGTGCGGCTGTGCTCCAATAAAACTTTATTCACAAAAACAGGTGGCGGCTGGACTTAGCCCAAGAGTCCCCAGTCTGCCCCACTCCAACGTAAATAATCCTCAGTTCCATCCCAAGCAAGCTGAAGTACTGGCTGTTTTTTTCTTTCAAGTATGCATTAAAATAAACACGCACAACCACGAAAATTTAAAACACGTCAAGTGTGTGGACCACCCCAAGTCGGCCTGGGAAGCCCTTACTTTGGGAACGTGGCTCTTTTAAGCATCACCCGGCCACGAGTCCTGGCATTTTCCAGGCTGAGAATGCGAGTGGCCGGCTCTCCCCAGCTCCGTCCTCTGTTGCTGGGGGTGGGGGCAACAACAGCTGGGCAGGGCGAACACCCCCGAGAGTGGATCCCCCTAGATCTGCCACCACCGACGCGAGCTTGCGCTGACGGACCGGCACCGAGCAACACCAGCTCACGGACACGGTCACCGCCCATCGCGCAGGACGCCGGCCACCAAGCAGGTGGCTGCTGGGTGCGCAGGGAGCTGGGTCCCGAGGACAAGCACTCCCACTCCGCCTCTCACCTGGCTCTTGCCGCGGCGCCGATAGCTCCGCCTCACCAGGCTCTTGTAGTTCTCATTCTTCTTGGTCAGGTAGTAATAGAGCACGCACTCGGCCACCGTCTGCGGACAGAGAGAGGAGGACGCTGAGGAGTGTGAGGTGTGGGCATTCGGAGTGGAGGCCGGGAGCCAGAAGGCCTGGGTTCAAATCCTGCCTCCTCCTCGTGCCAGCTGGGTGACCTTGGATAGGTTACCTGACCTCTCTGTGCCTCAGTTTCTCATCTGTAAAGTGGGAATGGTAATAGGGCAGACTTCCCAGGGCCGTCCCGGAGACCAGGTGAGTTAACGTGCAGGTAACGCACCTAGGACGATGCCCGGCACAGAACGAACACTATGGAGGTTTCACCCGCTAGCACTGTTGCCACGTTGCTATCGTCAGTGATAACCACGGTGTCATTACGTGTCACCCCCAACCCTTATGGAAAACAAGGGCTCTCGCTCACAGCGGGGCAAACTCAAAGCCATCCCCAAGCCAGTCTGGGTTCTCCTTTCTCTCCTTTCAACCTCCTCTTCCCTGACATTTGGGGTCCTGAACCACGTCCCCCACAACCCTGCCAAGGCCGATTTCTCTCTGCCTGGTCTTTCCCACGCGGGTCTGGTCTGAAGGCTGGCGGTGCCGCTTGCTGGGGGGCAACCGGCCCTCTCCCGACCCGGCCAGACGGCATTCTCGAAAGTAACGCCGTGACGCCCCCACCTGCGGGCACGGGGACCGGCGCCAGGTGCTGGCTCACTCATGCCGGCAGCTGTTTCTGATACGACGTCAGACGCTTCTGCGACTCTCGGGCTGGTGCCAAGCCAGGAACCCGCCTCTAAGGGACATTCCACAAGGCCAACTAGATGCAGAGGTGGCCTGGTCCTCGAACCCTCAACTGCCCTAAATGAAAAGCCACCAGCCGGCCACCTCCTGGAACGTACCAGGAACAGAGGCTGCTCCCAGGAGACCCCAGGCTAACTCTAGCCCACAACGGCGACCCATGCGGCAGTCGAGAAAGGCGTTTTATGATCGGGTGCTGGTATTTGCAGATTGGGGGATGTGGGTGCCCGGCTTGAGCGCCTTCCTGCGCTGAGAACGACAGGCACGGCCCGGCCGGCTCACCTGGTCCCCACCTGATGTTGGCCTCACTCACGGTCCGGACTGGCCTGTCCCTGCCGGCCTCTCAGTGGGCAGCTCCCGCTCCAGACCTCTCTACCGAAGTCCGTCCTGGGCTGCTCTCAGCCACAGCGCCCCATAAAGTTTACCCTCTGGGGTAAGGACTCCTGCTCCCTCATTCCCAGAGTTGCTCCATCACCAACGCCGAAATGCCTGTCTCCATCTCGGGGAGCCGGAACCCAGAGCGTGCTGGGCTGTCCACGCCCCTGGGGAGCTGTCGTCACCAACCCAGAGGACAGGCTATTTATAGGGCCTGTTTCTCCACACTGGTTTTTCAGGCACGGAGAGATTTTCCCCGCACGGCCCCATTTCTCTCCTTCTAAGGTGATCGGCTCATTGGGGCAGACGCCGGGAACAACAGTTACCCCTGAACAGAACCGCGGGGACCCTGCTCCGGGCCTCCCTCCGACGGTCGGGAAGCCTCTCGTAGCTGAGTGTCTGCAGAGCTGGGGGTGGGCAGACGCCCCACCGCGGAGCAATCTGATTCAGGGGAACCGGCCCGGAACGCACGGGCAGCAGCGCCCAAGCGGAACCGCTGCAGGGAGCCCTTCTCACCCCACCCCGCGACGCTGGGGCTCCGGGGGCCACCGGAACTCGCCGCCTCGTCCAGCCCACGGCGCTATCTTCCCACGGTGCCCTCTTCCCACCTCCTACGGCCTCTCCCAGCCAGGCTTGTGGGTGCACAAAGGGCGGCTGACCGTCCCTCGGGGGCACTTTGTGTGCCACGTGGAGCCACTCTGGGCTGGGGTCTGGGGCCAGGTGGGTCCGAGTGTCGGTTCCACACGAAGGTTTGTCCCGAGGGGGTGGGGATCTGTAGGCCGCACATCTGCCGCGGCACGAGGTGTGTCGCAAAGGAAACCGTGACCACGAGAGGGACCAGGAAAGGCATCCCATCCAGTCCCTCTGAAGCCTGCCACTCCGCCCACAAAGCCTTCGCTGGGGCGTCAGGCGCGGCAAAGCTTCCAGAACCCGTCCCCAGTTTGCGAGGATGCTCGGTGCTACCTCTGGGGAGCTGGCCGGGCACGCAGGGCTGGGGAAGCCCGTCCTCGTCCTCGCAGTTCTCCCTCCAAGCTCTCCCCGGGCTCGGCAACCTGACGCTCCTCCCCCAGGGCTGGAGGCGGGGCTGGGCCTGCCTGCTGCTCCCAGGAGGAGGGAGGAGAAGGGGAGGAGGGAGGAGAAGGGGAGGAGGGAGGAGAAGGGGAGGAGGGAGGAGAAGGGGAGGAGGGAGAAGGGGAGGAGGGGAGGCCGGCAGCCGAGCACCAAGCCAGGCAGGCAGAGGCCTTGTGGGCAGGGCAGGAGCGTCCCCCAGCCGGAGCCCAGGAGGCTGCCCACGGAAGTGCATGCCACGGGGTGGGGGCGGGGCGGCTGCCGGGCCAGAGGGAAGAGACTCACCTTCCTCTCCAGGAAAGAGGCGATCAGGCCGAAGTTCTTGGGATGCTGCATGAACCTGCGGGGAGACGAGGGCGGGCGTGAGAGCGGGCCGCGGGGGGCTTCCCTCCGGGGCGGCCGCTGAGCTCCCAGGCGCCTGCCATCTCCACTGGCCCGGCCGGACGGGCACCGCCCCACTCGGAGCAATTAAGCCCAGGGGGGTGTGGGAAGGGCGGGTGGGGACCCAGGGGTAAGAGAGGGCGTTCCTTGGAGTGAGTCACTGGCTTTAGCGCCTTTGAAAATATATTTGTTTGTCCTGCTGGAGGCGGCTTCCAGGAAAAATGAGGACATGCAGCTCTTTGGTGGGGTTCCCCCCCTCTTAAAATCTGCTTTTGTTTCTCTCTCCAGCTGGGTCTGGAAAGACGGGCCTCGCCCAGCCCACACGGGGCCTGCTTGGGAACACGGCGGGGCCCCCACCACCGAGGTCACGGCCCGCCAGGCTGCCAGGCCCCCCAGGGGAGGTGGGAGCAGAGGCTCCTGGTGCCCAGGAGAGGCGGGAAGAGGTGGCCAGCCAAGGAGGCATGGAGAACAGACTTAATCCAGAGAGGGGGTGGGGAGCTGGCGCCGGGCCAACTGGCTTCCTGCGTAGCTGGGAGAATTACTGGGAAACGGCTGGGCCAGGATGAAATGTCAGGGCCAAAGGAGCAGGCGGGCAGTGGGGGTGGGGACGAGGGTCAAGGCCTGCTTGGGCCCAGGGGTGCCGGGTGGAGTCCCTGGCCCTAGCCCAGGTGTCCCCACGGACCTCCTCCAGGACAGAGGTGGCTGCTAGCAAGGAGGGGGCCTCGGGCTCCCACCACGGGGGACTGGGCCGGTGCGGGGCTCAACCTGCAGGGCCCTCCAGATGGCCGGGCAGGAGGCCAGTGGGCCCCTCCCCTGCTCCCCAGCCAGACACCGGAGAACCCGGAACAGCCTCTTCTCTTCCCCAGGAAGCGGCGCATCACAGAGTGGCAGGCAAGCTTCCCTGCCCGGGATCCCGCCCCAGGCAAGGCTGGAGCCATCCTAAAACCCTTCTCCTCCAGCTCCTTGCCCCAGTGACATTTCCTGTCCCCCCAAAATCCCTCCCACGGGGTTTCACCGGGCAGAGATGGGGCCCCCCAGAGACCAGGAACCAAACTTGGGCATCTCCCAGGTCACCTGTTCCCCAGCCCCCGACCCCCACCTGCACCCTCTGCCAACGTTCTCGAAAAGCTTTCTGTGCACTGGGTACCTCACGACAGCTGAACAAGGCAGGCACAGGTGCCATACCCATTTTACGGGTGAGGAAACTGAGGCTTGGGGCGGGGGCTGGTCACGCAGCCGTCAGCACAGAATTTTTGGAGGCCCTGAGTGCTGTCAGTTCCTCTGCAAGCGAGACTGCACATGGGGACCGCCCTCGAGGGACACGGGCTGCCAGGCTGTGTGCCACACAGGACGGAGACTAAGCCAACCCTGCAGGTCAACAGACACCAGCCCAGCCGGGTCTCCCACGTGTCAGCCACTGAATCAACAGAGTGTGAAACCGTGAGGTCTGCAGAGCGACAGGAAGTCTCTAGAAAGGCTGAAGCCACAGAACGTGCCCCAGAACACCCTTTTTCTAATAACATAAATAAAAATATCAAACATACCGGGGGAATTTAAACATCTAATGCAACAGTCATTCTTAGCATCCGTGACTGTCCCATGGTCACCTCCCTGGCTTAACACTGTAAAACACGCTCAGTGTGGAACTCGATTTGACAGTGGGACGGCCACGTCTGCTGTCGCCAGGACCTGGGCAAGCGCCGCGAAGCAACCAGGTTTTCCGTCCCTGAGCAGGAAAACCCAAGCCCGTCGCGGCTCTGTCCCCCCGACGCTGTTTCCCGTTGGCGACTGCGGAATCCGCGTGGTGGGTGCTCAGGGGCTCATTATACCATCCCTCTAATTTTATGTGTGTTTTAAAATTTCCATAATCAGAAACTACTCTAAAAAATGTTATTTTCCACCCAAGACCCCCCTGGATGGCTCCCCGTGCCGTTCCCGAGCCGCAGCACCAGCCTGGCCCGGAACCCAGCGTCACCCCACCCCTCAGACGCCGCCTGGCGCCTCCCACCCAGGCAAGGGCAGAGACGGCCCCAGGCCCTGGACTTTGGTCCCCTGGCGGGGGCTGGAGAAGCAGTGTCATCTCTTTGGAGGAAGCTCTTCTACAGGTGAGACCTTCTCCGCAGGAGGCGGGGAGGGCGGGTGGCTCAGAAGGCCACCAGCTGAACACGGGCAGGGACAGAAGCCAGTCTGTTCCCAGCGTGCCCTCCTGTCCCGGCTCTGAGGCCTCAGCTTCTCGCCCTCCTGCCTTGTGGGGGCCCGGGCCCGAGGAGGGGCTCTGTGTCCCGGGGAGGGAGCACAGCCTTTAGGATGCGGTAATCACTGCAGTGTCCCCAAGGCGTGCGGTGGCCCAGCAGGGCCAGACTGTGGGACCCGCCATCTCCTCTGGGGACCCCAGACCAGGAATCAGGGGCCGGCGGCGGGGGTCTCCTTCTGCCTGGACATCACATCTCGGATCTTCACTACAGCGGGTGTGCTCCTAGGACACGGCTGTCACGTCTGCTGGGGGCATGGGGTCTTTCTCCACCTGGCGGCTCCTTCCCCAACATCCTGTCATCCAAGAGGCCCCCCACAAAGCATCACCTCTCAGTCCTCAAGCCCTGTCTCTGCTTTCCACAGTGACTCACCAGCCTCTCCTTTCCAGCTGGGGGAGTTTGAATCCTGCCTCCACTGCCTGCAAGCTGTGTGGCCTGTGTTAAATGTCTTAACCTCTCTGTGTCTCCATTTTGTCCCAAGTGTACTGGGGATGGCCTGGCTGTTACAAGGGATAAAAGGGACAAACGCACAAAGCCCAGGAGACACTGCCACCCTGCCCGAGATCAAGAACCAGCTCAACAAATAGCCACTTTCAAAAACCTACCAACCAGGCTGGGCACGATGGCTCACGCCTGTAATCTCAGCACTCTGGGAGGCCGAGGCGGGTGGATTGTTTGAGCTCAGGAGTTCGAGACCAGCCTGAGCAAGAGCGAGACCCCGTCTCTACTAAAAATAGAAAGAAATTAATCGGACAACTAAAAATATATAGAAAAAATTAGCCGGGCATGGTGGTGCATGCCTGTAGTCCCAGCTACTCGGGAGGCTGAGGCAGGAGGATCGCTTGAGCCCAGGAGTTTGAGGTTGCTGTGAGCTAGGCTGACGCCACGGCACTCACTCTAGCCCGGGCAACACAGTGAGACTCTGTCTCCAAAAAAAAAAAAAAACCCAACCAACCAACCAACCAACAAGCCACTGGCCAGCCACAGACCACCGCCCAAGGCCGGGGCTCAGCCTCTGAGACCTTCTTGCTTTGTTCTTCAGACACACACCAGGCTGCCTCCACACCTCCTGCTGGGTTGAAGAGTGTCCCCAGAAACTTCACGTCCACCCAGAACCTCAGAACGTGACCTTATTTGGAAACAGGGTCTTTGCAGATGTAACTAAGATGAGGTCATGCTGGATGAGGCTGGACCCTAAATCCGAGGACTGATGTCCTTATAAGAAGAGGAGACACAGAAGCAACAGCCATGTGACGACAGAGGCAGACACGGGAGCGATGTGTCCACGAGTCTCAGGACAAGGACTGAGGCAGCCCCCGGCAGCCAGGGGACCGGCGAGGACCAGGCCCCCCCCCCCAACCCACCCAGCCGCCAGAAGGAGCCGACCTGACACCTTCGTTTGACTCTCGGCCTCCAGACCCGGGAGAGAACAGAGCCCTGTTGCTTTAAGGTACCAGCGCGTGGTCGTGTGTGCGGGACACGTGTGCGGTGCGGGGACAGGAGCCTGGCACGGGCCTCGGCAGGGCGGGCGCGGGACCAGGCGACCCCAGGACTCACTTCTCCCGGAAGGTCTCCTTCTCCTGCTCACTCCACATGTTCATGACCTGGCGGTCCTTGTACACCTTCATAGGGTCGTCCATGAGCCCGTTCATGTTGATGAACTTGATGCGCTGCTGGTCTGCGTCGTACAGCATCGGCGGGATCACGGCCAGCTGGCGCATCTGCTTCTCCAGGTTCTGGGGAGACACAGGGGGTACAGGGCCGGGGTCGGAGCACGCGGGCCAGGCGCGAGGGGGTGGGGTGCTTGGCCTGCGCTGGGGACCCAGGCGAGGCTCGGAAGGGACAGGACGGAGGTTCTGGGCCAGAGCCCAGAGCGGGAAACACAGAAACCAGAGGGAAGGAGCTGGGGGAGGGAGATTTAAAGGCAGCCGGACAGGTTAATGGTGGGCAGGGCTGTCGATTAAACCCCAGAGCGCAGCCAGCCTCATCTGCAGCGGGAGGGGAGCAATGAATCTCCTCTCTGGAAACGCAACAGCATAAAACACTGCAGGGAAGGTGTTTGACCCAACTGGCTGCAGCAGCCCAGGCAGGGAGGGCGGCAGCAAGGGGCACGGGGAGGGTCTTTCTCCACCCCCAGCTCCCTCAACGAGCCCACCTGGGATCTGGCCCGCCCAGCCCCGCACTCGGGAGTCAGGCGCTGGCTCCTAATGCATGGAGATGGCTGTTAAGAGGCTCTGCGCCGCCACTCAGCTGGGCTCATTTCCCCAAATCTCTGCAGCCTGCCAATTACTGGCGATTAATTACCCATCTCCGGAGGCAGGCAGGGCTCAGCGTGGCCAAGGTCAGCTAGTTCAAATGATCTGGCTGCCCGGGCGCCCACACCCAGCCTCTTTAGTCGATGTCCAGGACGCCCAGCCAGGGGTCAAGGCAGGGGGGACAGCTCTGACCTCACAGGCACTCCCAGAGGCCTGAGTCTCCCCGAACTTGGAGCAGTTCTCCAACACGTAACCGTTGAGCTTCCCTGGCTGCCCCAGAGACCATGATGGAGGGACCCCCTCCGCCCTCCTGCGGGCTGCCGGACGCTCCCCGGAGGGTGGGTGGTGTCTCCCCCTGCCCAGCCTCCTCCCTCGCACACCCCTGGGAACCTAGGGACACCCCCGACGGGCTGAGGAGGTCTCTGTCCCCAGTTCCACTTCCCACCTGCACCCGGCACCCGGCTCCCTCGACACCCCTGAGGACTCTGGCGGCTGCATCCTCACGGGGCCAGCACCTGGGGAAACAGTGCCCCGGTGTGGGGGAGGGAGGGCGGGAGAGCGTGAGGGACAATCAGCCCAGATCCCACACACCCTCAGCTCTCGGGCCAGGCTCGGGTGAGGGCCACCTGAAACCAGTGCAGACTAAACCCACGACCACACTCGCGGGATGCCACAAAGCCGCAGCATCGGCGGGACCCGGAGCCGAAACAGACCCAGCTGCGGCGCCCGGCACGCAGGGGCGAGGCCTGGTGACCGTGGGCAATGGCTTTCTGAGTTCTGCTCTCTGTCGACTGGGTGTTGCTGGAAACAAGGATGTTATCACGAGAAGTTTCAAAATGAAGAAGTTTAATGGCCTGATAGTCTTTGAAATCCCTGCATCGGAATCACATGGGCGCTTGGAGAGAACGCGGATTCCGGGGCTCTGCCCCGGCCGGCTGCATCTCCGGCGGGAAACCGCGATTCGAAACAGCTGCCCTCCCCGGGCCGCCCAGGCCGCTCCAATCTGCGAGCCAGCGCGGGCCGCGGGCTCTGCTGCCCCACAGAAAGTTCTGCCGCGATGTGGGAGCCACTACCTGCTCTGTCCGGGGTGGGAGCCACTAACCACAAGCGGCTAATGAGCACTTGCACGGTGCCAGGCACGACCGAGGAATTCAATGTTTAATTTTCTCTCATCTTAGTTAATTTCAACTTCAATGGCCACGCGTAGCTCGGCTGTACTGAGCCGCGGCTGCCAGAACGCCCCACCTGCACAGAAGCTCTCCCTGGACGGAAGTCCCCAGGGAGGAAGAAACGTGACCCCCTCGTGTCTCCCGTGGTGCTGGGGACAGAGGGGACGGAGGAGTGTCACACTGGATGCTTGACCCCAAGACTCAGGAGGGGACTGGGTGGCACCGACCCTTCCCCAGGAGAAAACGCTTCCTCTCCGCTTCCTGGCCATCTCTGGGCCCCGGTGACCACAGCCAGGGTCCGGGCAGCCTGGGGAGGCCCAGGGGAACAGAGACCATGCCACGGCCGGGAGGGCTGAGGGTCCCGAGGGAAGGTCCCCGGCGGGTGGACAGCGGGCGTGCTGGGAATTCTCCGTCTGTCCCCTCACGCTCCCCCGACCCCGCCAGGCTCTGGGCCCCCGGAGGCTGACCCTAGAACCTGCACCTCTCAGGCGCTCCTGCCCTCCGGCCTCTGGCTGGACTCAGGAGTGAGAGGCGGGGTCCTGTCCCCAGGCTTCCTCCCTGCCGTGGCATCGTGGTGTGGATGGTGGATCGGGCAGCACTGTGACCCTCCGGACCCCGCCCTGCCAGGCGGCTCCTCCTCCACGGCCCCACTGCCGCCCCTCTCTCCACGGGCCCCGTCAGCCGGGGGACGGCCCATGGCTTCCCGAGACTGCCGGTGCCCAGGCGCCTCCACGTGCCTCGTTGGTTCCGCACCGGCTTCGGTAACACGCCCCTTGATTTAAACCATCCCGGCTGAATCCTGCTCCTGGCCGGGACCCTCACCCCTGCGCAGGGGACGCGGGAGGAGTGACACTGAGGCGGAGTCGGGGTCGTGGACTCACCTCCTGCTCCGAGAGGCCGTCGATGATCTCGGACACCTCGTGCTCGCTGCGGGCGGCCGACATGGAGAGCCCGCTGCCCCGCTGCCCCACCCTGCTGGGGGCCAAAGGGACACACTCAGGACCTGCCTTTCCGCAGCCAGGGACTCTCAGCTGGCACAGACCTGGGCCACGACCTCCCCGGAGGCAGGGAGGGCGGCCGGGGAGGGACCAGGCCGAGGAGTCCAGGGCAGGCCGGGGAGCCCCCACCCTGGCCCAGGAATGCCCAACCCCGAGGCCCTGGGCGCTCAGCCCTCAGCCCCGGCCTCTCTCCTGAAAAGCCCAGCCACAAAGACCTGGGGTCAAATCCCAGCTCTGCCTCTTCGGCCCAGGGGCAAAGTGCGGCCGCCTGTGCCTCAGTTTCCTCCCCTGTAATATGAGGACAAAAAGCAGCAGCCAGACGCTCCCTGGAGCTGCTGGGAGGAATCCAGTGAAATACGGAGTGTGACGAGTTCAGGAAAAGGCAAAAGCCGTTGTTATTATCATTACTAATCATCACCGTGTCTGTGCGGCAAAAGAGAAAATGACAAAACCGCAGCCACCTGCCACCACGCACCTGCCTGCACGGGCTCTCGCGCCATCGTCACGCCGGCAGGTGACATGAGCACCTGATTCCGGCTTCCACGCCCGGTCCCTCCCTTACCGCACAGCAGGGATCTCAAACCGGCTGCCTGCAGGGGCCGCGCGGGTCACATCCAGCAACCAGGCGGGCGCAGCAGGACACACGCCCCACGGAAGCGTCTCATCAACGAGCTCCAAGCAAGCGCTCGGCCGAGTAGGCTCCAGGTGACACACGCAAGGCCCCTGGGCCACCGGTTTGAGACCCTGCTGTGCTCTCCTGTTGCATCCTGACCGGGACCCCTCTGCTGCCCCGGCGTCCAGCTGCCTTGGGGACAGGGGACGGGAAGGGGGTGGCTCACGGCTCACCTCTGCATGCGCTCCTGCAGCTCGCGCTGCTTGCGGATCTCGGGGAACTGCTTCTCGTAGTACTCGCGCACCTTGCTCTCCTTGGCCCGGCGCCGGGGGTTGTTCTCGATGCGCTCCACCTTCTTCTCCCAGGCCTCCATGAGCTGGTCATAGCGCTGGCAGAACTTCTGCTCCTGAGGGGCACGGGGAGGGGCGCTGAGCCAGCGGCCCCTGCACCCCGCGCCCCACCGCCCTGCGCACAGGCAGACGGGCGACAGACAGGCGCAGCCACGCAGAGACACAGGCAGGCCCCGGCCCCTGAGGAAAACCAATGGGCTTCCCCTGCCCTGAGGGACACGGCCACCCGGTCCCGGCCTCCCCCAAAGAGGCCTTGTCCAAAGGCGGAAGCCACCCGCCTCACGCGGCTGCCCTGCTGGAGTCACAAAGTAAGACTTAAAACTCAGAGCCTGGTCCTCCCAGCCAGGCTTCCAGGGCCCAGCAGCCACATGTAGCTGGGGCGACGGCCCAGATGGAGACCATTTCCACGTCGTGCGAAGTTGCGCTGATGCCGCGGCTCTGGGGTGTCCGTTGGGCCCGGGGAGGGGCGCCCTCCGGGGAGAGCTGCTTTCTAGGCAGGTCCCCATTTCCCAGGCTCAGGCTGGGCCACACTCCCCAGCACCGAGGACCAGGGGTGAACACCCCAGCAGCTCCTGGAGAGGAGGCTCTGCCTTCCCCCCAAGACAAGTCCCTCTTCATGTCTAACCACAGTGCTGCCTGCTGCATGTCCTTTGAGAAAAGACCCCCAACCAGCCCAGAACACCGCTGCCTAGCTTCCATGTCTCCAAGGTGACGTGGGTCTCCAGCAGGCAGGGGTCATCTTGCTGCACACGACCTGTCACCCTGCCTCTAACGACGGCGGGTGGACAGATGGTGCGGTCTGGGAGTCCTGACCAACGCCCTCTTGACGCTTCGGCACAATCGGAAAACCCCGCTCCGGTCCTGGCGCCCAGACGCGCCCCGCTCCCCACCCCGCGTTCCAGCTTCTGACCAAGGGCAGCCTGCGGCCTCCATCCTCGACAGACCTGGCGGCAGGATGGTCCCAAAGGGGGGCAGAACTTGACCCCAAGTCTGTGCGCTGCTCCAAGGACCTGCTGGAGAGCGAGAGGCAGTTCTGGTGATGGACAGCGGCCACACGTGTCCAGGGCTGTGCCGCCGGCAGCCCAGCCCCCGCCACCGCAGCCCCGGCCGGAGAGGCCCCAGGCGACGGGTGAGAGAAGCTCCCCACAAACCCGGCAGACGACAGTCGCGCAGTGACCGGTTACCGCAGGGCCCCTGGCCAGCCGGGGCCTGGGTCTGCCCACGGGCCCACGGAGGGGCCGGCAGGGCGTCGACAAGACGTCCTAGCTCTGGCTGGAGTGTGGGTGCAGCACAGGCGGCCCAGCACGAGTGTCCCTAAGGGGACAGACAGCCACCTCCACAGCCCCGAGCACTGGGCTCTGCCCTCTGCCCCAGACAAGGAAGTCCTTCTGCAGGTCTAACCACAGTGCCACCTGCTGTCGCCCGCACCTGTGTCCACCGTGCTGGATGTGTGCTCGGTCTACCTCGGGGCAGGCGGCTCTGGCAGTTAAGCTGCTCATTGGGGTTTTCCACAAAGTTGGACTGGCCGGCCGGGGAGGCAGCTCCCTCCCTCTCCCCCCCTGCGTCTCTCTCCCACACACACCCGGGAGCCCTGCCTGGTCAGCATGCGCGTGGCCAAGGGGAGGAGCAGGGGGACACGTCAGGGACGTGTAAGAGACCCGGCCTCCCAGCAACTGGCCTCGGGGGCTGAGCTCCGCTTCCCAGGAGAGCCGGGACGGGTCTGGGGACAGGGGTCCATGCCGGTGTCCAGCGTCCCTTGGTGGCGACAAGCCCTGCTCTCTGGGAAAACGCGGGTCCCAGGAACCTGCTAAGGCAACAGGCCCCCGGGTCTGGGGGTTCTGAGGGTGGGGTTGGGGTGGGCGAGCAGATCGGGGTCTTGGCCGAGCCCCTCCCCAGGCTTCGCCAAAAACCGACGCAGTCAATCAAGGGCTTTGGGCTCATCCTTCGGGACAAGACAACCCCGCGCGCCTGTTTTCACAAAGGCCTCCCCCACGATGAGCCCGCTGGCCACAAAGCCAGCCCAAAGTTCTTAGAAGTCCCGGGTTTCTGCCTGCCTCCTCCCTGTCTTTAAATAAGCCGAAATCCCCTCCACCCCCTCCCCGACCCCCCAAGGAGCCATTTGAGATTTTTAAAGAACTCCCACACACCCAGCCCCGCCCCCAGCCCCGCTCCAGCCAGCACGGCAGGATCCTTCTAAAATGTCAACCAGACCTTCCCCTGCCTGCCTCCCTCCCTCCCTCCGCGGATAAACCCCCACCCAACGGGGGCTGGAAGTTCAGGGCCAATTGCTTGTCATTTTGGGTGTGACCATGAGACTCTCCTTCCCGGCGGGAGACAGAGGGGGCGGTGTTCGCTAGGGGTGAAGGGCTCTGGCCCCTGTCCCTGCTTCCTAACAGTCAGAACACACACGAGGAAACATGAGCCACGACTGACCCCAGGTGCGGGGTGTCTACAGGTGTTTGTTCGCTCCACACTTCCGTAAGACTGAAGATTCTTAGAATGAGACTCTGTATTTACTGAGACACTGACTGAGAATCAATTAGGTGTCCCGCTATGTTCAGAATAAAACCTAGATGTTCTATCCTAGCTCAGGAGCCAATATTTCTAGGTGACCTCGCTCCCCTGACCTGCTACATCCTGTCCCAGGTGACCCCAAGCTGGTTCCTACCCCAGGGCCTTTGCACTTGTGGTGCCCTTTGTCTGACGCTCTGATCCCCAGATCTGCACACAGCCGGTCTTTTCTGGCCATTCCCACCCAGCGCTGAGGCCCCTGCCCAGCCTGTCTCCTCGTGTTACTGGGCTGTCCGTGGCCTCCATCTCCTGGGCACGCAGCAGATCCATAGTAAATGTGTCTCAGCTCGGTGAATAAGACCGGAGGTCGGCTTCATGAGCCTCTTACACCCAGCCCAGGGTGGGCACCGTCCAGCTGGTGGGGGGCCGAGGAAGCTGCATGAGGCAAACCTGGGCGCCCCGCTGCTTCCCATCCTCACCCGGTGGGCCTGGGTCCAGAGCGCTGCCCACGAGCCTCCCAGCCACTGGCATCTGGCCAGAAGCCGCTCCTCTCTCTAGGGCCCCGCTGAAGCCCGGGGCCAGGGACGGGGTGGGGGTGGGGCTGAGGGAAGACCCGCCCCCCAACCCCACACCACCTCCGCCTGCAGCCAGGAGCCCGGACTTCCTGCCCCAGCCCAGCCCCTCACCTGCTCAACGCCTGCCCTGCACCCCCGGGCCCTGGTCCCCTCCCTGGGCCCTGCGAGTGGCCACTCACCATGCCCCCCCTCCCCCGCACGCCCTCGGCCTGGGCTGCCCCCGGCCCTGCCCATGCACGCCTGGCCTCTCCTTCAAAGCCCTCACGCCGCCTTCCTGACTTCCTCGTCCAGAACCTCGTTTCCTCGGAACACGGCGGCCTGGGTTCAAATCCCAACTCCACCACTTCCCAGCTCTGCCACCTCTCTGTGCCTCGGTTTCCTCATCTGAAACGTGGGGCTAGGAAAGTGCCCACCTCGCAGGCTTAAATGCACGCATGTACGAAAACCACTCAGGAGGGTGCCCGGTGTGCTCTGACATTGGCTGGCGTCGTTTGCCATCTGCGCACGTGACCCAGTCCCCGCGGCCTGCGGGTCTGCGGACAGGGCCTGCGTCTCGGCAGCTCCGAGCCTCACACAGTGAGTGCTCAGCGACGGCTGACACCCTCCACCTCTCCACCTCCTCTCCGTTCCCATCCCGTCTCAGTGCAAGCAGCACTTAGTCATCTCCTACTGCATACCACAGACCTACGCGCACTGGCCACGACCGAGCCAGCCCCAGCGCACCTGACCCTGAGGAAGGACGTCGGTGCCGCCTCACAGGCCCCTCCTGGACGTGGCCCAGAGAGGGCCAGGGGTGCAGGTGTAAGGGGGTCCCTCCCGCCCCCCGGCAAACCCAGATCCTACCCACAGAAACCCGCGTTGGACCAGCCTTTGTGCTTCTCCCACCCAAGCATCCCGTGATCCCGCGGCAGCCGTCCCCACCCAGGGTACTGCCCCACCCCTACCCCTCACCCCCAGCCCCCAAGAACCTTCCTGGAGCCTCCCAAGCCCAGCCCCACCCCCACCGTCTCTTAGCAGCCTGTGGCTTGGGTGGAGTCGATGACATCACCCCCAGCTCTAGACAAGGTCCAGAGGAGCCAAGCCCGTCAGTGCCATTCCATCTCCCTGGCGTTAGTCACTGGCTCAGAAGGACACATGCCCTCGCCTGGCCCACTCTGGGCTTTTGTGAGACAGTCTAAGAAAGGGCAGCTCTCTCTGGCTGTAGGAGATTCAAAGCTGCTACGGGAATTCAGGTACCGCAGTGGCAACCAGTCTGCCTATGTTCTAACATACAGTTGAAAAACTGCATAGAACTAAAGGTACGACCTGATCGAACCACTCCTGAAGTCCGCCCCATGGACTTTTCCAGCTTCACCAATTCCTCTCCCGTGTCAGCCCATTTGAGTCAGCTCTTCTTCCCCTGACAGCTGAAAGAACACTAATGGTGACTCCCCCTCCGTCACTCAACCCTAATCTCCCCGCGAACCCGTGATGCACACGGCCACCCTACACCTCAGCTACACGCGTTCTCTCACACCCCCTCCCTACCCCGAGCTGAGTGTGAAGCGGGACATGGGAATCGGCACCTTTGTCCGTGTAGACCCAGCCACAGTCCACCAGCGCGGACGAGGGGGGCTCACTGCTTTCCACGCCCTCCTCCTCCCGAGGCTGGACATGGGGTCCCCTGCAGTCTCTCAAGCTCACCCCGAACCCCTCCTTTCTGCCTGAAAAGCCCACGATGGATCCTCTGACGAGTGTTTAACGACCAATTTTCCAGGCCAAGGTTTTGCTTTCCTTCCTTCCAGGCTGGAAAAGGGGCCGCAGAGCCCCACCCGCCCCCGCCCCGGGCTCTCGCAGCCGCTGTGCGTTTCTCTCGCTGCCCTGGGCTTTTCCTCCCCACCCGGGACGCTCAGTCACAAGACGGCTGCAGAAAAGGAGGCTCTCGGCAGGTGTGGCCTCAAGTGACTGTGACGGATCTCGAGGAAGCCCACCCGGCCCACGGACGGGGCCGCGGACTCACCCATTGTTTGCGGGCGTGGTTCCTCCTCTTGAAGTACAAGATCAGCTTCTTCCGCATCGCCTGGTTTCTGTGCAGGAGGGAAACGGCAAACGGGACAGGTCAGCTGCCGCCGGCTGTCCTGCCTGTCCGAGCGAGCGCTAGGGTGGCCCCTGGCTGGTTCTCTGGGATGAGAGGCCCCCTCGGCCCCCAGAGCGACCCGTGACCCGCCAGTGTGTCCTCCCCCTCCCCCGAGGTGCCTACTGACGTCCCGGCTGAGCCCTGTTTGCAGACAACAGGGCGCGGGGGCCCAGGGGCCTGTGGCTTCCCGCCCTCACCCACCTGCACCCGAGCTCCCCCGACCCGGCGGCCACACCTGCCCACGGAGAACTGGTGGCAGGGAAGCAGCCGCAGCCTCGGACGAGGAACGCAGGCCGGGAGACCAGGAGCCCGAGGCCTGCCGGTGCCCAGAGGCCGGGTGTCGGGTGCAGCCTGGTGGCCTCCAGGGCACATGGTGGGCGGGACGTGGGCAGGACGGGGGTGGCTGGGGGGGCGGCGAGGCAGGGACTTCAGGAAGCACCCAAGGGGTCTCAGACCAGGCCGGGGGTAGCGGGGGCTCGGCCCAGGGGCCATAGACAGCACCGCAGGCTCAAAGGGAAGTGGGGTCTCCCGGGGAAGATGCGGACAGTTCAGAGAGAGAGCGAGACGAGGACAGACGAGACCCAAAGCAAAGGGAACAGAGACCCAGAGGGAGCTGAGACTGAGAGAGAGAGAGACAGAGAGAGACCCCACCTGCAAGGCAGAGAAAGAGACAGACCCAGGGAGGCCGAGGGACAGAGCTCCGGAGAGACCCAGAGGGGAGAGACCCAGAGAGGAGAGACCCAGAGGACCCAGAGGGGAGAGACCCAGAGAGGAGAGACCCAGCACAGTGAGGGTGGGGGACCCGCCCGCCAGATGCCAAGGGCCCCTCCTGCCGGAGCCCTCCCCCAGTCCCCAACACGCAGAGCGGGTGCTGCAGCGGCATCGTGAGCCCGTGTGGGTCACAGACGGACAGACGGGCCTCAGGAACCCCCTGCACCCCTGCACCGGCCCTCCCCAGTTGGGGTCTGCAACGGCGTCACCTTCTCAGGAAGGGCCCCCAACTTCTTCACATTCTCGGCAGCGTCCAAAACCCACAAAAAGCTCAAAAGCCACCGACTGAGGGCCACGGGACGCCCAGAGTCCAGGTGCCGTGACTGCGGGTCGCCCCCAGGACCCCGCCCTGGGAAAAGGAGAGGGGGGAGCACCCCGGGACTGATGACCGAGCAAAACTGCCCCAGCACACACCTCGCAGGCGAAGGGCCTGGAAGCCGAGCTGCCTACATCCACCGGCCCCCACCCCAGCCAGGGTGGGCCCTGGGGGGTCCTCGGCCCCACAGGCTAGGACCGGAGCCCCTCGTCACACCACGGCATGTCTCTGAGCAAACCTCGGAAGCTCTCCAAGTCTCGGTTTCCTCATCTGACACGTGGGACCCGCGGTGTCACAGATGTGTCTCCTCAGTTATTCAACAACCGTTTGCTGAGCACCTACTATGTGCCCGGCACTGTTCTAGGTGGTGGAGACATAGTGGGGACAGACAGACGCAGTCCCGGGTCCTCACAGAGGAGACACTCAGCCAGGGTCACACTGACAATAAGCAACACGATCAAGAAAATTCCAGATTCAGGAGCTTAAACAAGGTGGTGGGCTACAGAGTAGCTGGGGGTGTGTGTGGCTCTTTTAGATTCAGTGACGCAGAGGGGCCTCCCAGAGGAGACGGCCTGGAGCTGAGACCTGCACCATCAGAAGGACCTGGCTGTGGAGAGACTCAAAGGGAAGGGGTTCCAGCAGAGGCTCCACACGTGCAAAGGCCCTGAGGCAGGAACTAAGTCGGAGTATTTGAAGAACAGACAGAAGGCAGCCCCTGTGGCTGGAAAATGTTGGAGAGGAGGGACGGAGGGGACAGAGGAGAGGCTCTGAGCAGGACTGGCAAGGCCCTGTGAGTCTGAACACAGTGAAGGGTTTGGACCTGTATGAAGAAGACAGACAGTGGTGACAGCCCAGCAGCAGTGAGCACGCTGCACCCGGATCTGGGTTCCTAACCCTGCTCTCGAATGGAGGAAGCCGAGGCTTCCCAGAGACACGGCTGATTCCAGAAACACTTTAAGCAAAGAACTGCCAAAAAGAAAAAAATAAAAAGCCAAAAGGACACAGAATGTCACCTGAAAGTCTCCACTTGCCAGAGCTGCAACAACGTGAGCAACAAAATAAGTAACACTGGGACCAGATCACAGCCCAGAGAACAAAATAAACACCCATGAGTCCACGCTGATACAGATGAATGACTGAATAAATAAATAAATGCGGGGGAAGGAACAATCTTTCTTCTAGAGTTCCCGTGAACAAATGCACAAGAAACGGGGGGACAGAACAGCATCGTTAGCACGCAGGAAGGGCCGCGGATGGACGCTAAGTTAGTTGGCAAAATTTTAAGGAGAAACAGGAAATTTGCATAGCCTCGAAGTCTCTCCGCCGAAGTATGTATGAATCGCAGTGGTGGTTTTAACACGTGTCCACGAGGTCTTTGATAGTCCTTCCTCCGGGAGGTGGAGCTTAACTCCCCGCTGCCGCAGGGAAGGGAGGGGAGGCTGGACTTGGTGACTCGTCCTGAAGGGCAGAGAGCAGGAGGGAAACTGCAAGGTGACGGGGAGGGCCACCGCGGACAACACCTCCGGCCAGCGATCCAGGCGGACATCACCTGCCACGTCGTTCTTGCGTACCTGACGCGGCTCGGTGACAGGGCACCTCCCTCACCTCTCTGTGGTCTTCCCCCCACCCCAGACCCACCATGCCGGGCTCATCCGGAGAAAACACCTGCCAGGCCCACACTGAGGGTCATGGAACAGAATCCCCTGCACGGCACTCTTGGTTGTTTTTCTTGAGACAGGGCCCTGCTGTCGCCCAGGTAGGACTGCAGTGGCGCGATCACAGCTCACTGCAGCCTCAAACTCCTTGGCTCAAGCGATCCTCCTGCCTCAGCCTCCAGAGCAACTGGAACTACAGGCATGCGCCACCATAAAAAAAATAATTTTATTTTTTGTAGAGATGGGGTCTTGCTATGTTGCCCAGGCTGATCTCAAACTCCTGGGCTCAAGCAATCCTCCCGCCTTGGCCTCCCAAAGCACTGGGATGACAGGCATGAGCCACTGTGCCTGGCCCCCGCACTCTTCCACGGTGTCAGGGTCATGAAAAACAAGGCAAGGCTGAGACACTGTCACTGATCGGAGCCTAAGGAGACACAAGAGCTAACCACCACGTGGGCGCTGGGATCAGATCTTGGACCAGAAAACGGACGTTAGTGGAAAACTGGTGAGAATCCAAAGAGAGCTGGTAATTTAGTTATTGACATTGTACCGGTGTCATTGCTTGGCTTTGATAAATGTGCCGTGGTCACGTGAGATGTTCGCATGAAGGGAGGCGCGGTGAAGGGTACTCTTTCGTAAGATTTCAAGATAAATATTAATAGTACCCCTACAAAAACCAAAAAGGGTGGGACGCAATCCGCCCAGAATGCCATGGAGAGAACCAAACGTCATTCACCGCGGAACTGGCAGGGGGCGCGTTGCCTGTTACGGCAGAACCGCGTCACCAGCCCCCGGACCCCAAAAAGAGATTTGAAGCTCTAACCCCCAAGTGCTTCAGAACGTGGCCTTATCTGGAAACAGGGTCTTCCGAGAGGTAAGCAAGTTAGACCGAGGTCACTGGTGGGCCGACAAGGGGGAATTCGGACACAGGCGGACAGACAGGCGCTGCGCAGAGGTGACGCGAACAGACGCAGCGAGAAACGCCACACGGACGTGGAGGCGAGAGTGACGGGTGTGAGGCCAGCAGCCCCCAGGGGCTGGGAGAGGCAGGAAGGACCCCCCCGCACCCCCTCCGTGGAGCCTTTGGAGGGAGCGTGGCCCCCCCCACACCTGGATTTGGGACCCCGCCCTCGAGAATTTTAGAGAATAAAATTTCTGTCATTTTCAGCCACCCAGTTTCTGGTCGTTTGTTACGGCAGCCTCGGAAACCAGTCGCGTGTCTCGTCTTCAACAAACAGCAGCGCAACAACCGCAACCTGGAAAGGACCCGGGCGTATGAGGCCTCCCGGGGTGCAGGCGACGGGGTGCAGCCCCTGTATGCTCACCGCCCACGGGCAGCAGGAGAGGGCTCGAATCCCCCCGGCCGACCGGAGCTCCCTTCCAGAGCAAGCTCGGTGCCTGGCACCCGGACACGTCCACGCGCCGCCGAAGGGGATAGACGTCGAGCCCGCAGGTTGCAGACTGGCCCGGTACGCTGGCCCGGGCCAGCCCGCGAGTGCTGCGTTTGGGCTGCCGTGTTTTCTAAAAAACTTAAATTCACTGCCAGCACCGAAAACTAGAAGTCGTTGCACAAGAAGCCCAACTTCAAGCTTCCCTTGAAAAACCAGGCGACCCGGCTACATTCCTTCGTGGCCACAGGCAGGGAAACTGAGGCTTGGTTCCCCTGGAAAAGGGCGCTGAGCACTCCACTCCTCAGTCCCCACCGCTCCCTACTGCCTCACGCCAGCCCTCCTCACTGGAAGCTTCCTCCAGCCCCCGAGGCATCCACCTGCAGTGCAAGCCCTTGGACTCCTGGCTCAGGACGGGCTTGCTCCGGATGCTTCGGGCAAACGTTTCTCGTGGGTTTCTTTTGCTCCACGCGGTGTTTCGGCAACAGAGATACAAACAGGCAAATCTTTTCTGCTGAGCTGCTGTCCAGCAAAAGCAAGGAACACGGTCTCTGAGAGGGCTCTGGCGGCGCGATGAGTGCGCTGGCGGGGCGTGGATGGGGCGCAGGGGGCGCCTGCAGTCCCCTGGAGAAGTTGGGGTGCGCAGAGCGCGCCCTGTATGGAAGTACAGGTCTCATCACCTGCCAGCGGGCTGGGGAGAAGCAACGGGAACGGGCAGGGACCAGTGAGCGATGGATTCTGTGACTGCGTCAGGGGAGGCTGCACCTTACGTGGGACTGGCCCGGGGGCCTGTGGGGACCTGGCAAGGGAAAGCTCGGGG